TTTTCATTTGTGGTTATCTCTTTTTTTCCCAAATTGATTCATTGCAAATGTATAGTGTATACCTATCCATATTTTTATTTCAACATTTTTAAAAGTATTTATATCATTATTTGCTAATGAAATGTACTTATCATAATTATACAAGCAAAGAAGTCTTTGTTTGGGCTGTCATTATTAAAACCTTTATCAGTTTTAATGAACAAGTCATGCAGCGTAATGTTAGTTTAACAGATTTCAAAATAACTTTTTTCTTAAGTTACGTAACCAACATGTAAAGACAAAGTGGGGTTCATATTTGCCACTCAGCCTGATGTGGGGTTCATATTTACCTCGCGGCCAAAAGTGGGGTTCATATTTACCTCTCGGCTAAAAGTGGGGTTCATATTTGCCTCTCGGCTAAAAGTGGGGTTCATATTTGCCTCTCGGCTAAAAGTGGGGTTCATATTTGCCTCTCAGCCAAATGTAGGGTTCATATTTGCCTCTCAGCCCTAGGTGTGGTTAATATTTGCCTCTTGGCACAAAGTGGGGTATGTTGTCAATTGTTTTCAATTTTACAAAAATCAGGAACTTTATAGTTTCTTTTGTTTTATACATTGTAACTATAGTTTACACTTATAGTATATTCTTTACAATTTAGTGTTACATTTATTTATTTTTAAAGCAGCTTGCCTTCAGATTCTTGCTAAATTTTCATAAAAATTTTGAAAATGTATTGAAAAGTAAAGTATTGTAACGTGAACAAGGAAAATGATTTACATGTTGCAAATGGCACCAACAATCCTCGTAATTTGCCAAAAGAGGTCAAAACATGCAAAAGTAGCCCTTTTCGTGTTTGACATACAGTTGAAGTATGGCAATAAATACTGCAAAATCAGTCATTAATCACACATAACATGTATATTATTACTTGAAGATCTAGACCTACATCTTTTTACTTTTCTTTAAAATCTAGTACAATTTTCTGACTGTTAATTTTCTTGAAAATATTTTGGCTCATCTGGAGGCATGCAGCTTTAACCATAAGAAATTCGGGATTTTTTGTTACATGAGGTGAATGATCTGAGGTAGATTTAGATTTACTTGTTTTCTTTTTGAAACCAGGGGTTTACATTAAGTAAGTTCTGGTAGATTTTAGTTTGACTTAAGAAAAATCAGGAATTGTGAATGATTGGTTTTGTTTGTTTTAGGGGGTTAACATTGTAAACTGAAGACGTTATGTCATCTTAGTAACATTTTGGATCAGAATTGTTGATCTAGCTCTAGAATTTTACTTTCAATTTTTAACATTAATCAAGGTGGGTATTAATGGGATCTTTGTAATAAAGAATAGTGCACATGTCCTAAACAATCTAATGATATTAATATAGACTGCCACAGTGTTAGTTTTAGGGATTTAACATACTGGTATACATATACAAAATGTATAGAAATATACTAGAAGCATATTGACATTGCTTTATTGCTTTGTTTTCAGAATTTAAAACTTACACAAGGAAGCAGTCTGGTCAATGTCAATGTCAATGGCCTAGAGGTTAAGGTCATTAACTTCAAACCACTTGGCCCTGGCTGCTGTGGGTTTGAATCCCTCAATTGATTAATCCCGCAATTGATTTTGAATATTCTCTTTATGGGGAAGCAATCTAACTAGCTTAACAAAGAACATCAGTGATTCTATTAAGGTGCTAGCTTGTGCCTGAAATAATGCAGTATGGGGCACCTGAGGTCTTTCTCCACCAGTAAAGCTGGAAAGTTTCCAAATTACAGTAATAGTGTAGGAGGGTGGTGGCTTAAAACCCATCAAAACAAAACAATATTAAACTATTAGTATTGTCTGTAAATTTTAATCTGTCCTTGTGTACGTTATTCCAGCTGTTTGCAACATAACATGTTTTTACAAGATGCTAAGTTAAATAGGCAGAATACAAAAGTTTGTTTGAATTATAGCATTTAGCAATATGAATACTTTTATGTCTCTTTCAACAAAGAATTATATTTTCACCCATTAAATCTTTACCAATGTATTTTGAACAAAAAAATCTTGTTTCACTTTCATTTGTGTGCAAATCTTAAACTTGATGGTTTCAGTTTTCTAAATGAAACTGTGTTTCAAATCTTTATGTAGAGTTTTAGTTATGCTTTAAATTGATAGATATATTACATTTATGAATTGTTATTATAATGTATATATATTTGATTTGTTTAAATATTGTATTTTGTGTCATAAACTCAAATAAATTGGCATGCTTATGTTAAGAGTTTGTCTCATTTCTTTGTCAAATGTCAACATGTATATTGTCACTGGTGATTGCCACGCTGTTATGTGGTTATATCTTCTATAAGCATTATTTTCTTTTGCAACCGCCAATTTGTCCCCTTTTACATCTAAAATAATCACACTTTTGTGATACCCAAGCTTATTCTTAAAAAAATCAAGTTAATTAACGTGTTGCTATGTAATACTGAAGATAATTTAGTCTTACTCTAGAATGAACTTTTTTTGCTGCCAGTGAAAATTGGTATAATTTTGCATCAAATAATGACCAGCTATAACGAGCATGTCTGTAAGCTTGTCTGTAAGAACATTAGAACCAGTAGAAACTACCGTATCCTTGGGAAACATTTACTAAACGCATAGGTCTTTATAGTGAACTTCTATACAGCTACACTGTACACTATAAGCATTATTACAATGAGGTGAATTCTGATGGGTGTGCAGTGAAGTTCAGAACAGAAATTTATTCAATTACTACTTACGCAATTTCCTTTTGAACAGTACATGTATTAACTGTAAACTTTCGTATAGTTACATTGTACAATAACCATTATTACAATTGGTGAATACTGAAGTGCTGTTCAGATAACCACAGACACCACTTGATATACGTATTAAATGCGTGCTAATACTTTTATCATTCAAATACTTAATAAGCATTAATAAAACAAGAGGGCCATGATGGCCCTGAGGTCGCTCACCTGTATATAGGCCGCCCCAACCCCCAGGGCTTTTATTTGCACAAACTTGGTAGACACCCATAAGAAAATGTTTCATGCTAAACATCTAAGCTCTAGCTCATTGGGCTATTTAAAAGAAGATTTTTTTAAAGTTTTTACTATACACATATAGTTAAAAACAATGACACGCCTGGGGCCGGGCCAGTTATGACCCCAGGGTTTTTATTTGAACAAACTTTGTAGACACTTACTAGAATATGTTTCATGCTTAATATCTAAACTCTAGCTATTTGGGTTTTTTCAAAGAAGATTTTAAGTTTTTGCTATACACATATAAGGAAAATCAATGACCCCCGGGGCAGGGCCAATTTTGACCCCAGGTCTTTTATTTGAACAAACTTTGTAGACACTCACTAAAAGATGTTTCATGCTTAATATCTTAACTCTAGCTATTTGGGTTTTTTCAAAAAAGATTTTTTAAGTTTTTGCTATACACATATAAGGAAAATCAATGACCCCCGGGGCGGGGCCAATTTTGACCCCAGGGCTTTTATTTGAACAAACTTGGTAGACACCTATTAGAACATGTTTGATGCTAAATATCTTAACCATAGCTCTTTGAGTTCTTTAAAAGAAGATTTTTAAGTTTTTACTATATGCATATATAGGGGAAAATCAATGACCCCCCCCCGGGCGGGGTCAATTTTGACCCCAGGGCTTTTATTTGAACAAACTTGGTAGACACTTATTAGAACATGTTTCATGCTAAATATCTTAGCTCTAACTCTTTTGGTTCTTTAAAAGAAGATTTTTTAAGTTTTTACTATATGCATATAGGGAAAATCAATGACCCCCTGGGGCGGGGCCAATTTTGACCCCAGGGCTTTTCTTTGAACAAACTTGATAGACACCTATTAGAACATGTTTGATGCTCAATATCTTAGCCATAGCTCTTTGAGTTCTTTAAAAGAAGATTTTTTAAAGTTTTCACTATATGCATATAGGGAAAATCAATGACCCCCCGGGGCGGGGCCAATTTTGACCCCAGGGCTTTTATTGAACAAACTTGGTAGACACTCACTAGAAGATGTTTCATGCCAAATATCTAAGCTCTAGCTCTTATGGTTTTTTAAAAGAAGATATTTAAAGTTTTTTCTTTCGGTTGCCATGGCAACCAGAGTTCTGCATGGAATTAAATTCTTTGAACAATTTTTAAAGGTGACCACCAAAGGAACATTCCTGTGAAGTTTGGATGAAATTGGCCTTGTGGTTTATGAGGAGATGTCATTTAAAGTAAAAGTTTACGGACGACGGACGGACGACGGACGGACGACGGACGCCGGACGAAAAGCGATCACAAAAGCTCACCCTGTCACTTTGTGACAGGTGAGCTAAAAATTCGATACACGATCATAAATAAAGGAGATTTTTATTTTTTTGCGCAATGAAAAAAAAGTGAAGCTGTCATGTCTGTGTTCCGGGACAAAGATGCGAGTAAAACACAAAACGAAACCAACCCAGAAAGAAGGCAAAAGAAAAAAAAATGAATTACGAAAAAGGTCACTGTTTGACCTTTCGCCTTGCAATCATATTCTTGCGTAATGACAAATCAGCTCAAATAATCTCAATTTCATATGATTCGCTAGTTATTAACATCCCCCTGAGATTTGATCATTTTAAAACTAGCGAATCATGTCAAATTAAGATTATATTCTTAAAATCCACAGGTCCGGATGATACGGAAATATAATTAAAGACAGTGTATTAAGAAAGTTTCAAGACCGGAAAAAGGTGCCACAATAACGCGGTCACGTTACTGGAATTATCAATATATCAACCAAAGTTCATTTGCTTTATCAAAAAATGAAAACAAAAAAGAAGTTTTTCTTTTAAATAACTAATAAATTCACAAGACCTGCCCATCAGTACGCAATTCGGTACAATTAAATTCTTAAGATAAAAGTCAAGCGTTTCTTTTGGCTGAAAAATGAAATAAATCAAGAAAAGTTAATTCTTAAAATTAAAGAAAAAGGACAAAAAACCCATAAATATGACAAAAAAACAAAAAGAACAAGACAGAACAAACAAAAACAAACACACACACAAAAATAAACAAAATCAAAACGAAAAGAAAGAAAAAACATGAACAAGAAAGTGTCACATGGTCTTGGTATACAAGATTATTTTTACGACATTCCTAATGTAACATCTTTATGGTGGCTGATTTGGTACCCTTTGCGCGTTGCGTTGTCGATAGCGACAACAAACGGCACGTTATCGCACTGTCGTCTTGGCGTCCTGTCTGTAGCGTAGCACGTCAAACGGTGCGTTGTCGTGCGGGACGTTGTCGCGATGTCGCCCTGTCGCGTGGCTTATAAGCCAAACCTTCGACTTGAGCCGAGCGACAATGTGACATCGCAACAACACGCCGCACGACACCGCGCCGTTTGGCGTCCATCGTTAGCGACAAGACGAAAGTCCAACTACGCGCCGTTTGGCGCTTTGTCGTGACACACAGAAGCGTTCCAAAGCAGCTTCTTAACATCTATGTTGTTTCAGCGTCACATAAATTCTATAACAACATTTCAGACTTGTTTTCATTATTTAATAGTACTTAGATGGAAGATACAAATCAAATGGATTATAAAGTGGATATGTAGCGTTAAAAGCCGTTGGAATAATATTTATGTAGGTGTCCAATCAAATCTCGTCGCATCACATCACGTGATCTGAGTTTTGATATAACATTTTTGACGAAACGACGTCACCATACAATAAAACGTGACCAATTTGACAATAATGAATGGGAAATTTCAATAAATTTTGTATAAATGCTGTTTTTACAACTTGTTGGCAAAGCATTTGACACAATTTTTAGAGGAGCAATAATAAAAGTATGTCACAATATTGAAAGGAAATCTAAATTGTATCATCTGAATCCGCCATTGAATCTATATTGACAGGGCGTGGTCCGGTTAAACCCCACCCACTGAACACTCCATGGTCAACATTGCCATTTTCCCACCAGTTTCTTGCTCGCCCGTAATCTGGAAAAAAATATATAGAGAGAGAGAGATAAATTTTATTTTTAAACAAATCAGACTAGTTTTTTAACGTCAGGAATTATACACAATAATATATATGCACGGGCAATTTAGATAATATTTGTTTATGTACGTAATAAAATATATCGTTTGTTCTTCGAAGAATCGCCAATGGCTTTTTACATAAAATTTTGCCAGACTACTTTGTATTTTAAGCCGATTGATCAAAAACCATAATCAACTATGAACACCCTTGGGGGATAATGAAACCGCATGACGAGCTTTGACACCCACGTGCGTAGCGTCTTTCTTTTTATTGCACGTTTTCACTTCCGTGTTTATACGCTCGAGAATTTATATTCGCCAGATATGATGTCAACGAAACATTCTACATCACTTCATAACACGAAATATATAGATATGTATAATTATAAATATAAAAAGATAAAAAATCGAAAACGTGTGGGCTACGCAAAAAGATATAAAGTTTTTACGACGTGCGCAGTAAAAATAATAGTTCTAAATTGCTGTCAAATGTGATAAAACAGCATTGTTACAGCATTTACACGCGAACATTTATTTCTTCTAGAGTAAATTGCAATAATGAATAGTAAATGTTTTAAATATACAATAGAATGTACTCAGCCTGCTTTATGACTCATCAACGAGTAATAACGTAAAATTGGAAATTCAAGTTAAAAATTAAAAAAAAAAGTAATTCATCAAACGGAGCACATTGCTTGCATTTACATTATAACCTCTGCAGAGCAACTTCCTTTGGGAGACAAATATTTTGGTTGTTACTTAAGAGGTGTTGCTCTACAGAGATAACATGTAGTTTAGATATTTACTTAAGGGGAAGGAATGATATTGTTGTTGTAAAGAGGTTATTGCTCTACAGAGTGTCGCTATGCAGAGGCTGTACTGTATATTTAAACATGAATAGAGAAAACATGTAGGGTGGTCTCACTAAAAAGGCATATTTTTGCAATATAACCCACAACAGAGAAATTATACATATATTTTAATAACGGACTGAACGAACAAGTTGTCTTTTAGGTCATTATTCAGGGTTGGTATGTACCACAGGGTTGACTATTTAATGGATACAGTCAACACTGTGAACAAAGACAATTTAGCGACATATTGATTGGTTTTCTCATCATCCATGTGGATTGAATGTAAAACTGTCCAGAGTCCCTTAAGGACGTCCAAGAAGGCAAAATTGAAAATGTTGCAGGCTCGACTGGGAAAGTGCTAAGTAACGACGAAATCACCGAACTGTCTACAGGGAAAACACATTTTCTTTTTTTTCTTTTTCTTGAGAAGGAATTTAGTACATTTATATATTGGTGCAAATACCTGATTAAGTTATATTTTGCGGCGTAGATCATTTAATCGGTATTCGCGTTATATTATCAAGTTATGACAATTTTCTCAATGACACTTGCGGACTTCCAAGAAACATTAATTATAAGATAATTTCTATCATATTAAGGTTGATTGACCTCTGTTATTCCCATGACATATGTGACCACAATTTTATATTTATTATAAATATATGATCCATATTATGACGAACACTGAGTGGTTCTCTTTGAAGATATCTGAGTTTTAGAACAACAACAAAAAAGATAAATGATAATAATGATAATAATGATAATTAACTATAATGATACTTATTATAAAGACTTTATTCAAAAAGAAAGGTGATTTGAACAACATATCAATCTTTTATGAGGCTATAGGGATTATAAATGCTGATGATAAGAAGATAAAACGCAAAGTTGGAGTGGAAATATCTGATGATGAATTGAAATCATTCGATAAATAGAAAGACGCGTGATTTATTTGATCTTAAAGATCATAATAGTCTACTGAAAAACAACTCTTTGTTGACAATGAGAAGGCGTCAGTCATGGTTTCTGGTCAAAAACTGGAAATATATACGTTAATACTTGTAATATAAATGTTTTTTTTTAAATCTGCTATTTTAAGACAAATCAAATGCAATTCACTCAATAAAATACAAGCACGAAACCAATTATGCTTTTCTCCCATATTTATGAAACATACCTTAGCTTTGGAACTATTTTTTCTATATTTACGAGCTTTATAATAATTTAGTGAGACATGTTTTTTTCCATATTAGTTTTCGATTCCGTTATAGCTTTATATTATTTGTTGCATATTTTAAGAATCGTAAATTTATCATGAATTTAGGATGCAGTCGTGTCTAACATATGATATTAAAGCCGTAATACGATGAATTCTGTATCAATAAAACTATTTTATGGATAGAAAATAAAAAGGATATTACAATGTTGGCTAGAATTTCAATCCTTGAATTTATTTTGACAAGCGTGACATGAATATCATGTTTTGGATTTTTTTGAAATCTTGTGAGAGGTTGCCTAGAAGACGAACGACACATAAGATCAACTATAAGACCAACGTTTTAAAGAGATTGTATTTTTCCCTGCGTTATTTGGTAATCGTCGCTTTAAATATTTCTTAGGTTCACCAGAAATTACGTGTAACCGTTAATGTCATATTTCCAGAGATCTATAAAAATAAACAAAATAGGGTAAATTTCATAATTTATTGGACCAGGGTCTTTCAAGGGGTGCTACGATGCGCGCGCATCCTAATTTAAAGAATCTTGGCCGGTATTTTGAAGAAAAACGAGTCATGTAAGAAAACAACAACAACAACAACAACAAAAAAAAACCAGGAAAGGTGGTGAATTTAATTTCTTTTGCAAAGAAGTCCTTAATTCCAAATGCATTGATACAATGATACATTTCTTGAGTCTCGTCAGTTTTTTGCGTTAAATGCAATTTGGAGTACCTCCGTCATAAATAATGACTCATTGGAATGATATACATTTAATGAGCAATTGTAGATTAAACTGACAGTTTCAGACGACCGGAAGTTAATTTGATAGTATCTTTTCATAAAATATATTTTTAACATTGATTCTTTTTTCATTCGTACAACGCACTAAATTATAGAAAAGAGGAACAATCTAAAAGTACCCACACTTATTTTATTGGATACTGCTTACACTTTCTCGTTTATTGATGCGATCAATTGCACAGGCGAAATAACCAAACAAAAAACAAAAAACAAACAAACAAACAAAAAAACAATCGTGATAAAAAAGTTTGTCCCCTGAATGTTATTTTTCGAATTGAATAGCTTTCACGCGATGTGTTGTCTGACTCCTGCTTTATCAGGAAGTTAAAAATTAAGGTATATGAAATTTGACATACTTTTTTCCGATACAGCCAATTAAGAGATCTATATATTTAACAAATGAAGGCCTTTAAAAAAGGAATATATATTTTTACCTCCTATGATAATTGGATGACCATACCACATTGGGAACGCTAGACAAACATTCAAACATATCATCAATAGACAAGCAATAGATACAAGATATCGTAGGTGACCCATGAATCCTGCAAGTATACAAATAACAAAAAAAATAGAAACCAGATATCATAGGTGATCCATGAATCCTTCAAATAAACAGATAACAAGAAATATATTTCAGAAATCGTAGATGATCCATAAATCCTGCAATTAAACAAATAATAAAAAATATATATCAGATAGTGTATGTGACCCATGAATCCTGCAAGTAAACATAAAACAAGTAATATATATCAGATATCGAAGGTTATAGATGAATCCTGCAAGTAAACAGATAACAAGTGCATGTAAAACATATATAAGATATCGCAGGTGACCCATGAATCCTGCAGGTAAACAGGTAACAAGATATCATAGGTGACCCATGAATCCTGAAATTTAACAGGTAACAATATATTGAAAGTGACCCATGAATCCTGCAAGTAAACAGGTAACAAGATATCGCAGTTGACTCATGGATATTGAAATTAAACAGATGACAAGATATTGAAGGTGACCCATGAATCCTGCAAGTAAAAGGATTACAAAATAAAGAAGGTGACCCCTGAATCCTGCAAGTAAATAGATTACAAAATATTAAAGGTGACCAATGAATCCTGCAAGTAAAGAGATAACAAGATATCGTAGGTGATCCATGAGTCCTGCAAATAAAGAGATTATAAGATCATGAATCCTGCAAGTAAGCAGATAGTGAGATGACCCATGAATCCTGAAATTAAACAGATCACAAAATATTGAAGGTGACCCATAAATCCTGTAAGTAAATAAATTACAAGATATCGAAGGTGACCCATGAATCATAAAATAAAACAGATGACAAGATATTGAAGGTGACCTATGAATCCTGCAAGTGAACATATAACAAGATATCGTAGGTGACCCATGAAGCCTGCAAGTAAACAGATAACAAGATATCGAAAATGATCCATGAATCCTGCAAGTAAATAGATGACAAGATATTGAAGGTGACCTATGAATCCTGCAAGTGAACATATAAAAGATATCTAGGTGACCCATGAAGCCTGCAAGTAAACAAATAACAAGATATCGAAAATGATCCATTAATCCTGCAAGTAAACAGATAACAAGCAATAGATATCAGATGTCGTAGGTATAAGTTGTTCATGAATCCTGTAAGTTAAAAGAAAACATGAATAAATATCAGATGTCGTAGGTAATAATTAAGCGAATCCTGCAAGTAAAGAAATAACAAATAATATATACCAAATATCGTAGTAGCAAACAGATAGCAATAAATGTATACAATATATCGTAGGTGATCCATGAATACTGTTAGAAGAAAAATAACATGCAATAGATACCGAACGTTTAAGGAACCATGCATGAATCCTGCAAGTAAATAGATAATAGTATAACAATACATTGATACCACATTTCTTAACTGACCCATTCACAGAAATATGCAAAAGAT